AGGGAAACCTGATGTGCTGGTTGCATGTGTTGGTGGAGGTTCAAATGCTATGGGACTTTTCAATGAATTTGTTGATGACAAAGATGTCAGGCTGATTGGTGTCGAGGCAGCAGGTTTTGGCCTTGACAGTGGCAAGCATGCTGCAACATTATCAAAGGGAGAAGTTGGGATTTTACATGGGGCTATGAGCTATCTGCTGCAGGATGATGATGGGCAGATAATTGAGCCTCATTCTATTAGTGCAGGGTAATTTTCCTGATTGATATTTGTGTTGTTGATTTACTTTTTCCCCTGTGAACTTTGCTTGTTCTCTTATGAAGAATTATGTGCATCGTGCAGCTTGGATTACCCTGGTGTTGGACCTGAACACAGCTATTTGAAAGATTTGGGACGTGCTGAATATCATAGTGTCACTGATGAAGAAGCATTGGAAGGTAGGGCAAGCCTGACTTTTGCTATATCTAACAGAGACATAGCTATTATGTTTTCTTTGTCTTGCCTTTGCTTCAGCATATGGTATCATTTTGTGGTTTTCGAATTCAGAATGCTTATGCATCGTTCAGATATATGTTCTCGAGATGGTAAGAAAGGTTAATTATATCTTAGGTACTATACATAGTTTCCACTTGGGCTGTTGCATTGTGAGTAGATTATACCTATCTGGCATGTTGAATGAAGTCTTTTCTGAAGATTGATTCTTCTAGTATTTCCAGCTGCTGTCAGTTAATAGAGCAGGCACGTGTGAGGCTATGATGAACTTGAAGTGTCAAATCTTTACTTAATATTTTTGTTAGTGTTTGGTAGTTTGAAATAGTCAGATTAAGTTGCTTTGTCTTGGTATAATTTGGTGATCCAAGATCAGGATTCTTGGTAAAATTGAAGTCCTTTAAGTGATCAGCAGGCGATGATGCCTTCTTTCCTGGATGCGTATGCTTGTTTGTGTTGAGAAACTCGTCAAAGTGGAACTCCTAGTGGAATAGGAGTTTACTATTACCGAGGTGTAATAGAGTTTAAATGTTGTCCAGAAGTCTCAGAGCTATCTTTCTTTTCTTTTCTGTTTTTTTCCCCCCCAATTATCTGTTGAAGTTTATATTGTGCGCAACAGTATCTGTTACCCGTTTATCATATGTTTTTGTTTCACCCTACATTACTGCCATAGGTAACTGGAATAAGACAAAACCTTGTTTGGGTTCCCTTGGAGAAACTTCTCTTAAAGTCCCAATCATATAGAGCTACTCTATGCGAAATATCGATGCATCATGTTGTTATTGGGAAAACTCATAGAAAACGCCTAAAAGCGACGAGTAGGTCATGTGTAATGTCACTTTCTTCAGTTAGTATGACAGACATGCATTGCTGCGGGAACTATCTGGCCATTTCTAATTGTGCATGGCATTTACTTTGTAAATTCTTAAATTTTCTGTGCAAAAATTTCAGTTAAGATATGGTGTTGTTTTTATCAGGTTTTGTTTTTCTGCTTCATTCTTGGATATTTTTGTGTGTGCAGCTTTTAAGAGAGTTTCAAGACTTGAAGGTATAATCCCAGCATTGGAGACATCTCACGCCTTGGCATATCTCGAGAAGCTATGCCCGACCCTTCCGAATGGAGCCAAGGTTGTGCTTAACTTCAGCGGCCGAGGCGATAAAGATGTTCAGACTGCCATCAAGTATTTGAAGGTTTGAGGAAGGGTCATATTATGCTATGATTTGAGGTGTCCAGTGAAGACCAACAAGCTTGACTGCTGAGTAGCTTCATCTTCATGCTAGGGAGTTAGTATCAGTTTAATTTTGTATAAAGCAAAGTTCTGTGTTTGGGAAAAAGTTATGCATATGTTATTTAATGCTTGTAGCCCATTTTTCTGGATGCTGGTTTTATTAATAAGGACTATGATTTAAAATCTACTAATAAAGCAATTTGCTTTGTCTCCTTGTGATACTGTGATAGTGATACTGTCATTTTAGCTATGCTCAGCTGTTTATCGGTCATTAGAAGCAAGTTTAATGGTTGAAAACATGTCTAATTCTTGTTATTTTCGCAAGACCAATTGAAAAGTGAAAACTCTAAACTTATAAACTTGACTATTTAAGTTAACCAGATGATGTGATTGTTTCTGAACCATTGATTTGAGAGTCGACGGGTTTCTTTCTTTTTTTTTCGCTTTTGGTTTTTTTTTTTCCCAAGTGAAATAATTACCCTGCTGGTTCTATTTATATGACATTTTCAACATGTTTTACACAGATCAAGAAAAACTTTAAATTGCATTAACTCTTTATTAAAATATATTAACTTTTCAGTTTTACCCAATGTTTTAAAAGCCGAGCCGGATGTCCACCCGGAAAAAGCAGCGGGTCATGGTTTAACCGGTTGGATCGGTTCAGCTGTTCGGTTAGACCGGTAACATAATAATTAAAAAAAAATTATATACCCATATAATAATATAGCCATATAGGTATAAGAAATAAATATCATATTATTTTTTAAAAAAAATTAAGAAACACTTAAATATCTCAATTTTATAATGAGTTAACAAGCTCATATAATTATACCTCACAAAATTATTGAAAATAATAAAAACATAAATAAAATAAGAAATGAGAAATAACTATATAAAACAAAGATATATAGATAGAAATTTGAAATTAAAAAAAAAAAAGTAAAACGATTCCTAGGTAAACGTGTGGGATGGTTGCAGGTATTAAATTAAAGTTATTACTTCTACCGCACTCTCAAGAACAAACCATCGGCATAATCTTGTTTTCGCATCTGAACCCTCTATTCTTTCAGGATATTGCAGCTTTGGTTTTCCGCGTTCATGGCCGTCGTAGCTAGCAACGTTGGTGGATTCGGATGCTTTGAGGTTGTGTTTTTTTCCCCTTTATATCATCTTCTTCCATCTTCTCGTTTCTTTCTTGATCTCCTATTTTTCTTCTTCTTCTTCTTCTTTCTTCTTCCTTCTTTGGCTCACAACTGAGTAAAAGATTCAGGCCGTCTGGTTCTTGCGAAACCGTCCCGGCTTCCGGTCCAAATGCCGGCTTAAAGCGGCTTGAAACGGTTTAACCAGCAAGGTGGGTGAATTATGTTAACCGAGCCGGAGGGCATTCCGGTCACCGGCCGGACCGGTCCGACCGTCCGGTCCGGCTTTTAAAACGCTGGTTTTACCCCTATTTAATATATATTCCGTTAAAAAAAATAACTATAATAAATGAAAGACAATATGGTACATTTATGATAAAAATTTAATGAAGTGACTTATAAATATAACCAAAAAGAACCTTCTTTCTCTGCCTTATAAATAGCTTTATAAATAGGACCAAAGGAGTATTTTTTTATAAACTGATGATTAAAATATTGATATGTCTTTATCTTGTTTTATTCAATGTTAAATATATTAGAGTTTAATTAAAAATAATATTTGATTCATTTAAATTAAATTTAGAGAATTAAGATGAGAGATGTTTATATATTGCACATTTCTAAAATGTCCTTATATTTAAAAAAATACTATAAATCAGGAGAAAGATTTTTTTAATTGGATGTCTTAATTTTATAAAATCTTTTTTTAATTCTCTAATTTTAATATGTTTATTTTCAAATGTTGTTGTGGATAACTTATTCCTAGTTTCTATTCATTCTTCCTAGAATTGAAAAGAAATCTTATCCACAGAGATATTTTGTTTTTTCATGGGGGCTTCATCATAACCTTAAAAGCATTATCCACATCCATCTTCTTCTGCAAATTACAAAAGCTTAAAATGCATCCCAACAGCTTATGTTCATTCAGACGCTCCATTTCTATTAGCTCTTCAATGAAGATGGAAGCTCCTGCAACTTCATCATCCTAACTTGCAATTTGCAGATTCCCAGTGTCATCATATTTTCCTTGAAACCGGTTCCCCTCTCTCTCTCTCTCTCTCTCTCTCTCTCTCTACACACACGCAAACAGTCATGTTCACATATATGTTCATTCTTTGGATCAATAATGGTGGCCACTTCATTACGAAGCATCTTCTTTTCTTGGGGGGATACATGAAAGCCAAAGTAAAATTGTTTCTATTAGCGTGCACTTGATTATGTTTCCCTTATTCCTTTCATGCTAGAAGTTATGTTACCTATTAGAAAACTATTAGCAAACTAATTAAGCTTGAGATGATAAATTTAACAAAAAGGAAGGAAAAGGAATAGAAATGTTGGTTTATTCATTGTGTTTATTGTAAATTAAATAAATATTATTTTTTCAACCTATCCTCTTCCATTCAGACAAATCTTAAAAGGGGAAAAGTGAATTTAGATATAATTAAAATTAAAAACATATATTAATTTTTTTGACCTTATTTTCTCTGCACATGGTTTTCTAAACGCAGGTTTAATTTTCTTTTTATTTTTTTAAAAAGGGTATCACTCTTATTTATAAAGTTAAAAGACGATATTTTAAATAGAGTGCATATCCATTTTCATCCAATGGTAATAAATAAATTTCCCATGATAACATCAAGAACATTTAAGTTATAACTCTAAAGAGTATGAATGACCGTTAAAATAACATAAATGACAACTTATTAGCTGTCATGTTTCCTCTCTAAAACTGGTCTTTCCGGTGCATTTTCTTGCTAAGAGATGTATTGAGACTTGAAATAATTCAAGCCTAAAAACACCAATACCTAACAATCTAGCCCTTGAAGGTCATAATAGCTATAATGCATAGATGTGAAACCTTCAAAAAGTAGGAAGATCCTGTTTAGTGTCTCTATCTCTAGCATACACTTAAGACTGACCCAAACCACAAATAAGAGGACCATATTGCTATGAAACCTTTGATCACTGAAGGGTCACTTTCTTCTTGAACATGTTCACATGGGAAGCATTCAATATTGCCTCAAAAGGCCAAAATTTCTGCTATGCAATGCACATAATAAAATCTCAAGTTGCATTACAAATATGGTTGATCGTAATAATTATAATTATAAAAGTAGTAATAATATAATCTATGGATCAGAACAAGTGCATCAACACAAGAAATAGTTCTTAAAATTATTATTAAACCTTTCTCATATAATAAACAAATGTTTCGAGATTATCATCGGAGGCTCGGACTGTGAAACCAGAACATTTGTTTTTTCTTATTTTCTAAACTTCTAGGAAGTCTGAAACAGACCAGACTAAAACCACTAACTAATAATGTATAATGATACAGTTTCCTCAGCAGAATTATTGCTTAATATTAGTATGTACAAGTGCCCACGCAGCCAGATCATCCTAATCAAAAATAAAAACCCAGCAGTCACATATCTCTTGTAATTAGCTTCCTTGTCCTTGGCTGAGATGATAAGGGCATAAGGTTGTACCAGGTTTTACCTTCTGTTCAATTCCTCCACACTATTGTTTTGCCTTGGAAAAAAAAAAGAAAAGACAGAATGAGAAATCAGAATCATTTTCCTCTGCAAAGATGACAGAATGAGAATAATTATTTTTAATCAAAATAGTCCTTCGATTGTAATAAAATTATGACCTCGTATCATCTAAATTTCCCCCTTAAATTTCTTGTCAATTTTGGGGGAGATGCATACAGTGAGTGGGACCCATTGGAATGGTAGGTCTTGCACACTGTTCTATGATATCTGACCACAAGGGGGTGAGAATTGAGAGGACCTGAACTTTATAATTTATTAGGGAACTTGATAACAAACACCTAAATTGCACCCCAAGTCTATATTTAATATTTCACTTCTCAAACTCTCACATGGCTTTATTTTCCAAGGTCCCGCAAAATATTTACAACAGTGACAGCCAAGTGCTTCCTTGCCGTGAAGGTATGAACCAACGCATATTCTCAAGTCACTTATTTAAAGTGGTCTATTTCCAACTAACTCAAGTTAAAATTGACTTGAAATTGGAACACAACACAATGGATTGAAGTAATTACAGTTAGGTGGCAATTCGGAGTCCAACTGCTACAAACCAAACATTGGCTCACCTAAACCAAGCATGAGGCCACCTTACGGGTAGTTATGATATTGTGCAACACAGAGAAACCTAACTCTGCAATATGAGCCTCAGACTTTTACCTTTCATAAACTTGATAAATTAAAATTCTTCCGCCTCTGCCCTTTTCTAAGAGTGAAAAAGTTTAGGACTTAAAAAGGCGTTTGAACTCTTTAACAAATAACAGTGCCCCCTATCAAAAGTCTTTATTGATGTTTCACCCACAATCAGACAATGAACAACCTATTTCCCCTTCTGTTTGATGAACGGATTACCAATATTGATGATTAGTGCTTTCTTTTACTAGTACATAATACAGCCAAAAGGAAAAACAATTGGTTATAAAGAAATAAGACGCATCATCATATGAAAACTAAATGAAATACTTGACTAGAAAATACCTGTGAATACAAGAAGGTTCCAAGGATGGCGATAGCAGCTCCAAAAGCATTGACGGGTTGAACTGGCGTGTGGAAGATGATGATTGAAGAGACTATAACCGATATACGTTTCATGGTGTTGCCAATGCTAAACGTCAAAGGGGAGATCTCGTCCAGAGACATGTATGAGACCTGGTTGTACAGATGATAGAACACACTTTGAGCAGCCATCCACCTATTGTGTTCAATTAACAGCCACATATTTCAGTTGTAAAATAGAAAAGTGCAAAAGCTTTCAGAACCAAATAATAACTAGCAACAAAGATGCATGATCCGAAAAGACGGGAAAGCTCAGGTCTTTATAATTCGACAAAACTCACGAGCAAAAATAAGAGATAATGTGGTTGAAATAAGGCGTATTAACAAAATCTCTTACATGCTACTCAAGATGAAATTTTCGAAGGTTTATTCTTGTAATTCCATTTACAGATATACAGAAAACAAAGTACTAAATCACAAGGCCAAATGTTTCTTTACAGACAAGTTATGAGGGCTGTGAAGACAACAAGAAGGGATAAACAAGGAGTGTAGAAACTTTTAGCACTCATGCGTGTCACTTCATTATAGGCGTTCATCAAGAAAAATTCAAACATCTCTAGAAAAAAAATCCAAAAAAATCCAGCTTCGTTGACCATGAAAGTCAAGGAAAAACTAGAAATTTTCAAGTTTCAATCAGAGAAGAGATTAGGCAGCATCAAATACTTGTATCTCCTCAGAATGACAAACAATATATTTACATAATCTTATTAGTGATGTAGATATAGATATGCACAAAGACTAAGAAACACATGACCATGGTAAAAATAAAAAAGGGAGCATCAAAGCCAGCAGTTATAATTACCATATGAATTGGGGTCCAATTTGCGAGAGGGCTGTTTGCCATCCGGCTGCCCACATCTGTGGTCCCTCCACAGCAAATGCAAATGGCACGAGAATCAAGAGAGACAACATTGACAAACAAGCGTAGTAGTTCATTCCACTGACAGACTTTCCCTTCATGCCCCTCTTCGAAAAGATATTGCGAAACACAAATGCCAAATTCGATATCATAGCACCCATGAAACCTGCAGAAAATTGTTGAAAGATAAAATGTCAGGGCAGAAAGAACTGGTTAAACCAAAGGTGAACAAAAAGATCCATTACGATGTCACAAGGAGCTTCCCTCAATAACAAAATCACCCAAGAAAGTCACATCAAAGGACCCCTGTATTTAATGGTTTAAACGTCAAGCAGGTATATAGGCTTCAAAATCCCAGTAAAGGCCAGTTAGCTAAAGCAAATGAAGACACCAGAGACTTACATAGCATAACTAATTAGACAGAAAAGTATATTTCTCGGTTTAATTCAAAGATCAATTTAGTTTTTCTCATACTATCTCTATATTCAAATTGTTCTCAAAAGTGACATAAAAAAGAAACAGAATACAATAACCAAAATATTCTGCAAAGGAAAATTACTTTATTACCAGTCATATTGAAATTTAGCTCAGTCACAGCAGCAAGAGCGCATCCACCAATAATTGGAATCAAGGACAGATAGACCGGCACCGGGAAGGTCTCCCCCAAAAGAAGCCTTGAAACCAACACACTAAACGCTGGCTCACCACTCTTGATGATGTGGGTGAATGAAACTGCAACTTTTGACATGCTAACGGTTGCTGCTACATGTCCTATTGTATGTGCAACAGCAACCTATTTTGAAGGAGACAAAAACATTAGGATCATTATTCATTAGAAAAACAAATCAATTCATGAAAAGAAACAAGAACTACTGAAGATCTTGTCAAGCCTGAAAGTTAGCAACAAATAGAGAAAGGGAGGCTATAGTAAGTTCCTCTTTCAATTTGATCAACTTTTTTTTTTAATTTAAATATATGACTAAACTCCCCAGTTCAGCTGCATGGTTTAATTGGAGTAAATTTTCATTTTATACCTGTGGTTTCAACCAATATCCAGAGAAAAGCATGACATATTATCAAACAAAACATTGTTTGCTTTATATCCAGACAATTTTTCTCAGGAAACAAACAAAAACCCAGTCACTTACAGGAAACAAGGTCTTCCAGAACTCAATATCAGTCTTAGGGGCCTCAGCTATCTTTGTGGCCCAAGAGATCAACATCATAAGAGACCCACATGCAAGTGAGAGAGTGGAAGTAAGCCAAGGGTAGGGATATGCATTGAGGACCTTCTTGTTATAAATATTGAAAACCACATTCAGAGCCCACCATGTTGCAAAGTATATCCCAATTTTCACCTTCTGAGCTGCCTCTGATGGTGTGCTTGTTTCAATGTCTGATCGCTCTGCCTCGTACGCTTTACATGTGATCAAACTCTGTTGTTTTTGGGATTTCGCAGGAGCAAATTTCCCAGTAGAGGAAAGGTACAAAGGTTTTTGCACAGAAACAAGAGATTTCAGGAGCTTTGCCTTGGGAAGAGAAGGTGAAAACGAAGACATCTGAACTGGGTTTGAATGTTTTCCCTGGAAAATACCTTCAGAGGAAGAACTTCTGATCGCCAGAGCAGATTGTTTCACAGAGCAAATCATTGTGCACAAAAATTTGAAAAACAACAGCTTTGAACCAAAACCTCAATGAGTTGCTTAAATGTGATCAGAAGCGCCAAATACAAATCAAATCAGTAATCTCATATCAAGGGCTACGGAATGATGTTTGAACTCAAAGACTTGACCTTGATGACTCTTATATGGGGAAATATCACTAATCTGGCTCTTTGACCTAACGCCTCCTAGGATCATGAACGGTTATATAAATAGAACTACCGGGAAAAAAATGTTAATTAGGAAAATTGTTCAACGATCATCGCTATGCAATATGAGCAAATCTGTTAAGTTATAATTAATTTGTTTAATGATTGGCCAAAAAAATTAATTTGTTTAATGGAAAGATCATTTTAGCTAAAATCAAATCAAAAGGATTTATCTTTTATAACAAATTATTAACAGATTGAGGGTGTGTTTGGCTTGGAAAGAAGAGAGATTTTAATAGAGAGAAAAAGAAGAAAAGGAAAGGAAATGATTTTAACATTATCTTGTTTGGATTGATAAGATGAGAGAAAAGCGATGCATTTTTATATTATCTTGTTTGATTTAAGAGGGAAAGAGGAAAAAAAATATTTTTATTTAGACAACTTTACCCTTATTTCATTTAAGTTGTTTTTTTTTTTGGAAACTTTAGATATTTTTATTGAATATTTTTTGGGTATATGAAATAGTATTCAGAAATAAATATATGACAAAATTTAAATTCAAAAAATCTAGGCACAAACATCCGTATTATATAATATATATTAGAAGGGTAATGTGAGGATATTAAGAAATATCATGAACATATATTGGTTAAAATAAAATCAAAATATTACATTTTCTCTCCTCCAACTCCCCCAATTTTGGAAGAGAAGGTTAGGAGGAGAGATGAGGGAAAATTTCAGACAAATTTTTCTCCTTTTCTAAAAATTTTAACAACCCAAGCAAGAGGAGAATCCCTCCTGTTTCCTCTCCTCCCCCCCTTTCTTTCGTATCAAACAAGCCCATTCAAATCATGGTCGCATGCCAATGATAAGAACCCATAATTTTGAGGTGATATCTTTAATTTTTTTTTTTTGACTGAAGGAAATAAATATATATATATATATACACACACATCTCGCTTTCCTACAACAAAAAGTTACAACGGCTATAGTTTAATGATGCAAATTATGGGAGTAGGCGAGTAGCGAAAGAAAATTTTACAAACATTAAGGAACAAGACGCAGCCCCCGACGCACATAGCTAACTTAGGCCCTGTTTGGATAGCAGGCCAAACCATGATTTAGAAAAAAAAAAAACAACCCAAACAAGTATAAATTATCCGAAACCATGGTTTGGGTCAAAACCATAGTTTTGGAACCCAAAACCATGGTTTCGGGAGAAGTGAATCCATTCTGCTTTTAGCTCAAATTGAAGAGTATGATTGTGCTTATTAGAGTAAATCTCAACAATAATATGACTTTAACACCCCTTAATTAATTTTTTATAAACATATTTAATCTTATATCTTATAAATAACTATACACATATTAATTATATTATCTTATGTATTATTAATTATGTTGGTAAAAAATATATTATTAACAATTTTATTCCTTCAAATTAAAATATATCATACAATCCATGTTTTATGTAATTATCATATTAAATTATACTTTTTTTAATAATTTGTACATATAAAAAGTACTTCTGATAACAACTATCCAAACACTCTCACTTCTCAGAATCACTTTTTCACAATATCTATTCTTCACAAAATCTATTTTTTCCAGAATCTATTCTCCAGAAGCTATTCTCTAAACCATGATTTGGTTTTATCCAAACACACCCTTAATCTAAATGTTTTTCAGTTTAAAAAAAATGAAAAAAGTAATTAAAATCTTTAACATAAAAACGACGCCAACCCAGCCCAAAGGTGCATGAGATCGGGCTTCGGGCTACTGACTAGCCCAGTCCAACCAATGGTGTCCGGCGAAGCTGGTCTCTCTCGGCGGCCATCGGCTGTGTCTGTGCCGTACCATGCTGGTTGCGCGCCTCCCATGCTCTTCCACTGACAGCTGCAATCTGGATACTGTCACCCCTCGACCATGAGTCCGGATTCCACACGAAGCAACCAAGCCACACCGTTGTTGCGATCTATCTTTAGCCGTTATCGGAATCAAAGACACCATCGTTCATTGGAGTAGTTTTTGCAATCAAGCTTTGTTCTTCTTGCGCCATTCCGGTGGAGATCTCTCTGATCCCTGATGATGGATTGCTACTGAATGCCAAGAGGCAAGATGTGTTTTGAAACAGTGCCATTTTGTTGCTTTGTATAGCGCGTACTCCACATGGGATCTTGACACCAGCTCGGACTGGCATGTGGCCGCCCACCCCTCTGAGCCATCAGAATCAGCAACAACAGTAATTATCTAACTCCTTATTGAACTGAAATCCTATTTAGATTTCAGCCAGGTATTGATCTCTGGAAGAGAAATAAAAAATGGTTCATGCATTATAAGTCTCTGGATGAAGACAAATGCTACTCAGCTAAATTGTCAGTAAGATGCCTCAGATCCATAAGTTTCTCGGGGATACTTTCTGACCATTGCTCTGTTCTAAAGCATACTATAATACTTAAAATGTATAACATGTATGCCACATTAACTCGATGAAATTTTAAAGCTGTTCTCTATGGAAAACATGGAATTAAGCTATTTAGTGTATGATTTCTATAATTAAAAAAAATTTCTAGAGTAATAAGCTCTAAAGTACTAAATGCTGCTATAATTCCAAAAGTCTAAATTAGTATTTGTTCTCCTTTCTCTGGCTTTGAGCTATGTTTTCATTCCATTACAATTCTCAAACAACCCATTTGAGATTAGCTGTGATTGGTAGTTCATAGGCTTGAAAAATGAAGTTCAAGATTCGAGATTGAGTACTAATAGTAACTCTCCACTTGGCCCATGGCATGGCTGTGTTATGGGTTTGATATTTCTGATTGACATCTTTTACGCATACGTTTTGCTTAAGATTAATATCATAGAGGGTTTTGGGTGCTGTGAAGAGTAGGTTCTTGTTTGCACAGTACCTTTTTAAGCAATTCAGTTGGATGTGGCACTGAAAATATATGCATGAAAGAATACCAAAATCCACATCAAATTTGGGAAAAAAGAAAGAACCAGAGAGAGACATTTTCACCTGCATCATCCTTCTGAGGCTTCCAGTCATAGGCATTTTCTTTAATCAAACATAGCTCAGTTCCAAGATAAGACTTTTCCTAGACTTGATCATTCTATGCTATAAAATACTACAGACTGCTATGAATCTAGAATCCGAGATTATCAATGGCTCTTTAAGAAATTAATGTCTTTATTTAGTTATGATTTCTATAATAAAGAAAAAACACTTCTGAATGTAACAAGAAGAAAAAACACTTCTGAATGTAACAAGCTATAAAATACTGAATGCTGCAATAATTCCAAAGTCTTTGTCTTTTTATATTTCTTTTACTTCTCATATATTTTGATCTCTAAAACTAAGCAAAATGAATAAAAGTTATTGTGGCTAGCATTTGCTAGCTGGTGCTGTGAAGAGTAGGCTCTTGTTTGCACATTACTTTTTTAAACAAATTGGATATAAATCTGAAAATGTATGCATGAAAGAATACCAAAATCCACATCTAATTTGGGGAAAAAAAGAAGAAGAGAAAAATACAAGATTTATTGAATATTTGAATCCCGTTATCTGTTTTGAGGCCCCACCCACATCATTTTCACCTGCATTACCCTTCTAAAGCTTCCGGTGATAGACATTTTCTTTAATCAAACATAGCTGAGTTCCAACATAAGACTTTTCCTGGACTTGATCATTCTATGTTATAAAATACTGCAGACTGCTATGAATCCAGAATCCCAGATTATGTGTGGCTCTTTAAGAAATTAATGTTTTATTTTCCTTTCTCTGGTTTGTGTTGAGCTATGGTTTTGTTTCATACAAATTGCCAAGCAACTTGTTTTAGGGATATATATAATTGCTGGTTAATTGGCCTGGAAAATGAGATTCAGGATTCAATCAAGCTGTGCTGATCGTTTTGTTTGAAACAATGACTTACATCACAGATGCATCTTTCTTTTTGATATGTTAAGGCCAAACAATACTTTGGGCTTCAATAATAAAGAAGGCAATATTTTCGCTTTTCCTTCCTGTTAAAGGAAAAGAATCCATAGGATAAACCCAAATGAAAGCAACATATGCAATACAACAAAGCAAAAGCACAATGAAAATGCATGGAATAACTTTGAAATCAACATTAAGAAATGAACATAGCTTACTTCAGTAACTTTGGAATCGGTGCCTCCATCCCTGAAGGGCTCAAGTAAAGAACAAATTCTTACAAGTCTTTATTTATCAACAAGTTTAGACTTTCTTCTTATATATTCATTCCAATTCATCTCTCGTTTGTTCTTGCTTGTGTTGATGAGCTATTTGTTGCCTCCTTCAAATTTCCAAAAACCATATATACGTGCCATCAGTGTCAACCATTTTCTTCAGCCTTCCTTCACCGTTTGAATTCTCGAAATATCATCAAGGTTGTCTGTATTATATTGGAGGTAAATATTAGTTAATTGGGAGATTCTTTCGTTTTATTAATATTTATTAAAGAAAAACATTTTATAGTGCACATAAATTTTGTTTTTTCTCAAGGCCTCTTAGTTTGCACTTTTGTTTCCTTCAGTTTAGTTTCAGAAGAAGATCAAATCATTATCCTTCTGCCGATCATCGATTCATATTAAAGGTAAATAACAGAATATAATTAAGTTGTTTATTTTACGTCCATAAATTACATTTCCTTTCCCAAAGGAACTTTTGATGTAATTTTTTTGGGGCAGTATATGGTTCAGGGAAAAAAAAAGATGTTTGAGCATTCTTTGACTATTGATACGATAATGAAAAAATGAGTAATCTGAATTGTGTAATCATCATTTAGAGTTATTTATTCTACTCTTATGTTATGTTCCAGGTTAAAAAAATAAATACGGATAAGTCTTGAAAAAAATGCCCTAGATTAATTAATATAATTACATGTTTACAATCCATGTTTGATGTTGTAGTATGAGTAAATGGATGGAGGAGGTAGCTATGTTAGTAACTGCATATTTGATGAGAAAAATTATTTAATATCATATACAGTAAATGCTATTTAACTTATAAATGACACAACCCAACTTATAAACATGTGAGTTTGACTTGTAAACAACGGAGGTCAATTGTTTTTGGGGGGGGGGGGGAAGGCATGTCAACTTATAAATATAAAATTTTTGGGACATATCTATATTTAATTTTCTTATCTAAGGCCTATGAACAATTTTCCCGACTTTTATTTTTTTTTAACCAAAGATATTTCATTAAACAAGAAACGAATAGCACCAATTCAGAAAAAACAACAAACTGGATAGGGAAAGAGTACAAAAGACAAAAGTATAGTGATAATCAATTAGCCAACTCCCATTCGAGCAACAACACTATTATGAACATTCTTGACGTTAATCCCAAATAATTTACAAGTTTTTCTTTCTTTCTTTTGAATTTCACAATAATTTAGAATAATCAATATTCCTAGTAAATGAACTCTTTAAAATTTAAGTTCCGTAATATCATAGTCTTAATTAACTAAATCATTGTTTGTTTCCTTAATTAAGGTTGGCATGGCGCAATTTGATTCCAAGGTCATTTTGGTGAACCTTTTCTTTTCCTATCTAATTTGATTGCAGAGTTTGAGGTAATTAACTTAGTATGTATTTTATATTTTTTGTTTATTTCATTTTAGTTATTTGAAAAGCCTTATGATAATACAAATTTCATATACATAAATATACAAGGATTTTTTCCACTTAAATGACTTCTATAATTATGTAAATAATACTTAGTTACAATACTTTAGGGGTCTTACTACTCCTTCTTTTAGGGAAATCAGACGAAATACTCTCTATTTTGTTGAAAAAAAATTATCCATTTTATCATATTATTTTTAAGGAATAGTTATTAATTTATATTGTTGTCTATAATTCTTCTAGTTCCTGCTTTTCTTGTGCTCTCATAATTAATTAGTTTCAGTTGTCATCTTTCTGCATTGGCTTTGGGCTCAAAAGATATCACATTTATTTACAGATAATTATTATAATATCATTTCTTTGTTTTACATATCTTTAACTTATAGTATTTTTTTATAGCACGGGAATATTAGAAGTAATACATTATTAATCTCAATATCATCATTTAGGGGAAAAAATGTACAACAGCAGAATGGATATTATATCTATAATATAAGCATTTCCCCCCTCCCATCAAAATATTGAGAATTTCTCTTTATGTCACATAAATATCAATCACTGCAAAATATGAATTACATAGAAAAAATAAATGAAAACACTTTTTTTGTATGTAAAACTAGGAATCATAAGATTTCTTTTTTTTTTTTTTAAATTTTTTCTGGTGTGCAATATACTGAGCTTTTAAGACCCAAGTTACACTATATATAAATTCAAGTAAAGAATAATTTCCTTTTCTTTTCTATTTTAATTTTGTTTATTTATTTAAAGCCTCATTATATTGTTTACACTATTGTTTCTTTCATTCTCTTTTTCAGAAGCAGTTGTAATTATCAACTCTCTGCTTTGCTTGCCATTAGTTCTTGTTCTGCCTCAAAAAAAAAAAAACGGGAAGAAAAAAACATGATCAGAAGTTCATATTACAGGTAAATAACAGAATATAATTTTTTTTTAATTTTACGTGACCATAAAGTAGAAAAAAAGGTTCTTTGTCTTATATATTTGTTACATCATTAAGTTAAATTTTTAACACAAATATACCATTTTATCTTTTATTTTTTGTTGGGCAGATTTTTATTTTCTTAATAAGTGTATATGTTAAACAGGAGAAAGTATATATGAAACAGGAGAAAAGTTGTTAAAATTTAAGATAGATTTAATAAAGTTTGGGGTTTTTCTCTATTCTAATGAAATATGCTTTAAGCAACTTATAGTGTGTGTATTGCTAGAGTGGTTTATGCTTTCCTTAAATTCTTAAAATCCACTTTCAATCATGTTCTGGCTGCCTTCCCTTGCCACTCATCAGATATTGAAAATTTTACAGGTAAATATTAATTTTAATCAAAATATTATTAGAAAATTAAAAATGAAATGTTGAATGTTATTTTGTATTTTTATGTATGACATTGAATTTATATCAATTTAAATTTTGTACTGAATATGATGGAATGCCTATTTTCGGAAATATATACTTATGAAAAAAGTCAGATTATTTCAAGTTATGTTTTTCATTATATTGAATTTATGTTATTGAACAAACAAATAGTTATTAAAAGGTTAGTTTTGTTTTACATCATGATTATATGAAAATAAAATTTAAAAATAGAATAACACTTAATTTGGACAGTGGTTGTTTGATATATATATATATATATATATTTATATATATCACAGTAACTTATGGAAATTTTGAAATATTCATAAAAAAATAAAAAATAAATCGGGAATATCATCAACCTGAAAACTATTTCAATAAATACCATTTTCTGAGTGTACATGAGCTTTATTTTTTGTCCTTCTTTCGGTTCGTCAATAATTATACAACAATGAATTTCAAGACCTTAAACTCTTTGAAAATTAGTATATATTTATATATCTCGTATGTTTGTACTGATTGGGTGAATTGTTGTTTGCTATGTGTGTAGTTGGGCATAATCTCTTAATTTCATTTGAGAGTCATCCGGAGGACATTTCTGCGTTATTTGTGTAATTTCATCATCACATCTGAGGTAAGTAGCGATTATATTAGGTTAAGTCATCTAACTGATTTATTTATTTATTTATTTACTTTTTTAATTTAGCTTGATGAAGGACTTCTTTTTTCACTTTTTTTATGATCCAAGGATACCCTTACCTTCATTATCATCTCGCTACTTTACATGTCTATTTTATTGTCTCATCTGTTATATTCTTTGATTATCATTTGAACTCAATATTCAGATTCTTAAATAACAAATAATTTTATTACAAACTCAAGTCTCACCCAATCTTTTTGCATATGAAAAGTATTTGTTTTTCAATCAAAGGAACGAGTATTTGTACATTAAACACTGAATTCATTAGATGCGTTTCTTATAGTTTTCTGAAATTAACTTGATTTAATTTTTTTTATAAGTAATCATATATTTTTAATTTAAGTCAGTAAAATTTATTAATTGACTATTAAAAGCTTTAGTTTTTCTATTAAAATAAAAGAATATAATGATTTTTAGATATGCAGTACTTTGGTCAGTCACAAAAAAAAAAAAAAAAGCATTCAATTTTGGGTTTTGGCTTAGAAGACTTTTTCTCCTTGTTGATAGGTAACGGTGTTATTATTTGGAAAAATGGTGATTCCATATATAAGTTCTAAATAAATAATTTATTTTTAAATAAGTTTTGTGAATTTACTTAAATATTACTCTTAAATAGCTCAATACTTGGTTATAATTATTTTTTTTATGAAATGATATATACCTAAACCAGTCATGAAAATAAATTCTTAAAGATTAATTTTTATTAAATATTGTTCGCTTGGAAAACTCTTTACAAGTTAATTTCAAAATAATGCCATTGTTTTAATTTAGAGACAATCGTTGCTTGTTTCTTTCTTGCATCGGAACATATCGCACAAATCTGAACTTGAGAATTCCTATGATAATACTCCTTCCGTCTTAAATATAAGATCTTTTTTTGTAGTGTAATTTACACTACAAAATAAGTCTTATATTTAGGATTGGAGAAGTATTATTTATTTATCTTACGTGTCCTTAAGCGATATATTTCTTTCAGCGGGAAATTATTAGAAACAAGTGTTACGAAATTATACTATATATCGCTTGCTTTAACATGAAAAAGATTTGTTAGTTTTTAATATTAAAATCCAGAGTCAATAATACATGAGATCAATTCTACTATATACGTCTCATGTTTATTTATTGTTTGATCATCATTTGAACTCCAAATTTGAGTGTTTTATCAAGGTACTATATACACTATATAGCGTTATATATTTTTTTATTAATAGAAAATCAAAACATTATTGGACTTTAAATTAACTTTTCAAGCGTTATAATATGATAAATTAGACACAATCTGTTAGACACTTGTTTATAATATATTATGCTGAATTTACAATAATTGAATTTTTTTTCTAGATTTCTTGTCAAGTTTGGCTAAAGAGAAATACAAAAAAAAAAAGTGTATACTCGAACGAATTATGCCGTCTCTGTCAAAAAATGAATGAATTATGCTGAGTTTACAATAATTGAATTATGTATACTTCTTGTTTTTGTTTCTAGTTGTTATTTGCTAATTTCGCGTAGCTGGGCATCTCTTAATTTGATTTGAAGTGGATATTTCTGCATCACTCGTCCAATTCTATTCTGATATTTGAGGTTAGTGACAATTACATTATCTGGATAACCCACATACCAAAACTCATTATCTATTTATTTACTTATTTTTATTTTTAATTGTTTAGCATGAGTATAATAAGGAAATAAATTCTCAATCAGCATAGGAGATGGTACCTTGATAAAATACTCAAGTAAAGAACAGTTTTTTTTATTTTTAAAATTCAATTTTTTATCCAAAAACTATTAGTTAGTTTTTTTCACCGAAAAAAAAACTATTAGTTTTATTATCATCTCTCTACTTTACTTTACATGTCTGTATCACTTTAGATGCCACTATATAGAGTGGAACTTTCTTTAGAGACCTGGCCTTTAGGTCAGATTCTTATATAACAAATAATTTTACTATAAACTCAAGTCTCACCTACAATTTTTTTAACATAAAAATATGAGAAAATTACACTCAGGTCCCATGGAGCACAATTAATATCAACAAAGTCCCTGGAAATCGCGAAATGATTCTGAAGTCCCTAGGGACCTGTGTGTAATCAATTCTAATTGTGAAATTACTTACTTACCCCTATTAATTTTATTGCAACAATTCATTTACAACCTCAACAAAGTGGCTGTTGACAACCCGAGAAGAAGTGATTGACAACCTTGACAGTGCTCATGACAACTCACTCTGTGGGATGGCTGTTGACAATCCAAGAAGAAGTGATTGACAACCTCGGCAGTGCTCCTGACAACTCACTCTGTGGGATGCCAGGGGCGTTGCTGAGGTTGTTAACCACCTTTTCTCGCGTTGTTAACAGCCACTGTTGAGGTTGTAAATAGGTTCAAATTAACAGGGGTAAGTAGGTAATTTCACAATTAGAATTAATTACACACAGGTCCCTAGGGACTTCAGAATCATTTCGCGATTTCCAAGAACTTTTTTGATATTAATTGTGTTCTGTGAGACCTGAGTGTAATTTTCTCTAAAAATATTTGCCTGTCAAACAGAGGATCTAATATTTGTGCATTAAACACTGGGTTTATTAGATGTTATTTTATATTATTATTCATTTAACATAATTTATTTTTTATAAATAATTATATTTTTAGTTTGAATCAGTTAAATTTATTAATAGTATGATTATTAAATGCTTTAGTTTTCCTATTAAAATAAAAGTACAGCGTAGTAGTGCTTATATTTTTAAAAGAAAAAATTCTTTAAATAAAAGGAAAAGTTCATTGTAGGATCATTGTAGCTAATTAATATCAGTGAACTTCCAAATCATTTCAAAATTTTAATTAACCCTCTTGAACTAAAATGAAATTAA